ATTAAAACTATCACTATAAAAACTTCAAGAGAAATGGCAAGAACATGTGATGAAGAAATAGAGAGAAAAGAGAGAGAGGGAGAGAGATAGACTTTAGATCTCAGCTACGCAAAAGTTTTCTGTTTTCTTGGGTAAAGGATAAAGTAGCTGTAACGTGAAAACTGAGGAAAAATCCATTAGCTCACTTACAAGTGACTTCTTTCTTGTGGCCTTTGTAAGAGTACATCTCTTTCATAGTGCGCAGATCATAGAGTTTGACAAGATGATCACGACCCGCCGTCAGCAGCCAGTTACCGTTTCGGTTCCAATCAACGGCCATTACGGAACTTTTGTGATCCTGCCTGTAGAGGATGACTTTCAAGAACAGTGTCGAACATAGTAATTTAAGTTGTTACAAAAACTCTTACAATGTCGTCAGACAGTCTCCTGTCCTCGGATCCCACAGCTTCACTGGTTGCTGAGAATCCCTCGAACCTGTCACTATCATTCCCTTGAATGGATGCCAGGCAACACATCTTACCTGAACGGTCGCTGCATTGATTAAGGAGGCATCATCGAAAGAAAGCCAAGCACAACTACTCAACAAAACATTCGGAGAAAAGATCACGGTTCATGAGCTTCCAACTACAGTTAATTAGTTTTGATTTCAGGGTTTTCTCAAAACTGTAACCCAGAAGAGCTCTGTGCTGCAGAATTTGAAAACTAACCTCCGACCCATGACCACGCATAGCTCTTTCTTCCACACATCTAGCAAAATCCCATATACGGACTGTCCCGTCGTCAGATGCGGACGCTAATTTTACATCAGTTGGGGCGAACCTATATGACAATTGTTCCTTCCAGGAAAAATAGATACAAATCATTACGAGACAATAGTCCGTCGGTGACTCAGAAGCAATATCTTCCACCCTAAAACTTACGATAACCCTCTAACGGGCTCATCTTTATGTGCCTGATACATGTGAACATTGTTCATGTTTGGTTGCCAATACTTTATGAATCCTTCGTGATCTGCTGAGACCAACCACTGCTCGTTGTGCGACCACGTCATGGCTCGTATAGCAGAATCATGAGCCTAAATATTAGGTATCTGCACTCTTTAAATTGAGGAGATGAGCTGCACCACAGTCAAGCTCACAAGGTACAAACATGAAAAAGTTTCAGATGTCCTCAAAGATGTTCAAACTATGTCACGTCAGTTCAAATACTTATACGTCAGTTCAAATACGTCAGTTTCTTGCATATCCCTCCAAACAAATGTAAACTACAGGAAATACCCTATGGCATGGTCCACACCAAGGAGCAGTAATGAGCATCCACACCCAACACCACTACCTCATACTACCTGTACAACAGAACGGTACATAAAGAGCAGGACACTTATTTGGGACAGGAAGTGTTAGATTGAGCAATAATTATCCGCCGTTTTCATTTCACTCATAAGTTTTTAACAAAACCAAACAAAAAACAAATAAATGCGTAATCAACAAACGCTCTCGAACAGTCCTCTCTGCAACCGTGCCTTCATCCCAGGCTTCATTGATTCTACAAAAGATGCAGAAGCATTCGCTTTCGAGCTCAACTTGCACTCATGCAGCGTGAGCAATCTTTTTTGCTCACGTGTAAGCTCCAGAGTGAAGCAAATACACAAGTTGTACATCAAAATGTACAAGAGATTGCGCGCTTTCAAACTTTTAAAATAATCAGCGAAGAAAAAAATGGCGGATAATTATTGCTCAACCTGAATATTAGAACTCTTCATGTTTTGTTATAAATCCACTCAGCTTGAGAATAGTGAATAATAATATCTCCTAGCTAGGAAATGACACTTGAAGGGATTCTATTATTGGACAATGCGAAATTTTTAACACTTGTCCACTAACTTGCAAGAATGGAAATAAGCTCGTTATACTTGCAATAATTATTCTAATTACTGAATCATGCGAAATCTTGTAAAGCTATCCCCCGCACTTGAAAGGATAGATCTAAGCTCATTGAACTTGCATGCTTTTGGAAGGTCACTTTTCTATTTCGCAATGAGATCAAATATCCACAGCGCTTTCCTTTTAGATTAACCCTTCCTTGGATTGATGGAAATGTTGCCAGTGCTGTTATGCTGTGGAATGTGTAGTGCCACACATTTCTCTCGGTGTCCGAAGAATGACACCAGCACTATGTTAAATCCAGCGGTGCCGAGCAATAGAAAGCTCAACCCAAAATAGCCGGATTCAAAGAGCGTCAGCTCGCTCAACTATTGCACCAGCATAAGCAAAAAAGGGACGAGTTCATGAGGCTGAAAGAGCTCGAAGAAAGGGAGAAGGGAAACATCGCAGTGGAGCATTTGGCACAAAGTAGGCTCGGGACGGCAAATTTACTTGTTTTGACACTCTGCCCTGGTTTTCCCTTGACTATAGCGGATTCGTATCTATACATAACTTCTGCAAGAATTTACCAACTCCCTTTTCCTTTCAAGCATTTTCACAGTACGATCCTTGACCTTTGTTAGACGACAGCAGTGAGTTTTTTGAAGATAGCATCCCAGTTCAGCCCTTTTTGTTGCACGAATTACGAAATCCCTTGGGATACTTGATTTTGCGTATGTTGGGTACACACACATGAGAGAATCCCTTTATTCACCCACTTCACGTTTACAATTAAACGGTCAAAATGGGTAGAATAATCAGCGGTATCTCTGCGAAGCTTTATTCACCGCTTCACTAACATGAAGAAATTTGACGTCCTTTATGGACAACATGAACTAGCAAGACTAAAATGAGCAAAACTGTCACCGTTTTTAAAGGTGCACCAGTTTAACTACGACCGTAATAATAAAAATACATACAAACAGAACAATACCGCTTCCAGTACCTGTAGAATTGTTTCAAAGTTGAAAGCCGTCCCGTTCCATAATGTGAATTCACCAGTTGATGCACCCGTAATAAGTCGTTTACCCTCAGGAGTCCACTGGAGATAAACAATTTATAAACAGAATTGTCATCATAAATAAAGGAATTTTTGTGCTACTCAACCATTACAACTCCGAAATATCAAGCGAGAATCTCTCCCAGATCATCTATGAGGGTGACCCATTGAAGTAAAAACAAATGCTGCATTCATTTTTGGCAACGACACCATCTTGCGTCACGTATGTTTTCTATAAATTCGCTGTTGAATCGTAATTCAGATGCTGGCATTCACATTGGCGCCAGTACAGAAATTCGATAGAATCCTTCCTTTCAAAATTTTGGGGTCGCAAAAGTTGACCAGTCTCGAAAATCTTTTTCGGAGCCACAAATTCCTGGTCAGAATGAATAAACGGTGTTCTTGCTGAAACGCACAACTACCCAATGCAAACGCATTATTTTCACGGAAAAGAAATTCTCGTTTACCCCGGACCAAGTAAACGTCTGAAATGATAGCTATTTCTCTCGGAAACTTACGCATAAACTATAAACTGGGCACTTGACTTTGTTCATTGCTGCTCTGACGAATTTTGTAAGAATGCAGTCCACAGGAACTTCTGGAGTACACCGGGCAGGCAAAGCCGTATTTTGGTACAACTCATCAGGCTGCTGAACAGGACGCTGCCATCGTTTGTACAACCATAGCCGGGACTGCAAAATTTTGAGTGTTCAGTTATCACAAATTAACGTAAAAACCGTCCATGAAACAGCGCAACCTTCAGGACGCGAAGAACAACTGTACCTCCGCATGGTTGAGAACCGTAGCAACGTAATCAACATGTCGCCTAACGTTAGCCACATTCTTTCGCAAGCGACGACCGGGTCCATCGCCCATCATCATAACATCCATCTGCTGTAGCTGTACCTATAAAAATAGTGCATGAGAAAAATATTGATTTTTACTTTACTGGCACGTGAGTAGCAATACTTATGAGAGTAACACAAACTCTCGCAAAAACTTGAAAAAGAAAATTTCAACGCAAAAGCTGTCATTTTCCATCCCAAATTATGCATTTTTTTTGCAGCGAGCGGTGTAACAAACCTCATTTGTTCGTTACAGTGTATCATTAATTTTTTCATTTATACCTCGTCGGCACCCTAAACAATATCGCAACTCATAAATAAAGGATAAAGCATTTGCCGTTGATCAATCCCTTTTTGGGATGCGGCACGCATTCTACTTCCATTTGTACATTCGTAGTGGCGTTTGAATGCGATGTGGCCTATACAATGACTTGCGGGGGCCAGCCGATGTACAAGTCAGTGTTTTTATCCTCCCAGACAAGTCTGGTACCAATTAACCGACCCCGGAGGGATGGAAGGCTTGGTTGGCCCGGGCGACTCACGACCCAGGATTTGATCCCCGGACCGCTCGCGTGGTAAGCGTGCCACTTGCCACTACACCACTTCCGCCCTAAGAATCACAAGACATAATTTGTAAAAAGGAACATTAGAAGCCAAAAAGACAGTAGACAAAACTCCGCTGTAGTCATTCAAAAGTGTCGAGGTAGAAACGTGCCATTATACGACCAGTTAGAATAGTCAATTAAAAACAAGAAAACAGTTCAATTGATTTCACTGAAGCTGGCTATGGATACTCAGTTAGTTGATCCTGCCCCCTTCCCAAAAAAGGAACTACTTACAACCTGAAACTTTCTCAGCGTTGATTGTGACGAGTCTCAAACCCCTTTCGATGGCATCACTTGAGCCATGGACGACATAACATGTTGCGACGGGGAAGAACTTTGTGCAATTGAGTCAACTGCAGGAAGTTAGTTCGAGACCTTAGACAAGATTTACTTGATTCAGGAAACAGAGCATTGGATGACGCTCCCACTATATTTCTGATCTATGATACGTTTGGATGTGGTCGACATAATGAAGACCCGCCATTCAAAGGGGGTTAGAGAGCTAGTTCTCTAGCTTGAGTTCACACTTTTGAATAGTGTAGCGCAGAAAAACACACTAAGATGGGCGGTATTCAATCCTTCCCCCAGGGGTTGGGGACGGAAATCCCTTTAAATTTATTTGTTTTGAACGATGTAGTTTCTTCATTTTCAATGCATGTTTACTTTACCTACATACATACATTAAATGTAGGCCCTTTATCAGGACAATCCCAGTTGGGAAGACAGAGAAAATTTAAAGGGATTTTCGTCCCCCAACCCCTTCGGGGAAGGATTGAATACCGCCCCTGGTGTTGATACACTGCGCGCATGCGCATGACAAGCTCCACGACCAACACGATCTAGATCGATCGATCTGCACTTTCAATAGGAATCAGCTGATGGCTTGGACCATGGGTAAAGCCACTTCATAAAGTGAAATATAACCAGTACAGCAAAAATTAACGTGTTAAAGTGAATTTGAGTCACATATGTCTCTCTCAGTAATTTAAAATCCTGCCAAAGCTCAAAATTGACAACACCAGCACATCACAAGTTGATTATGTGAATCGCGTAAGGGCGCGTGTCAGAGAATTCTGCCAAAAGGACGATCGTATTCTCGCATTTTAAGGTAAGCAGCTTGCCCTTAAATCGTTGACGCAACCATGCGCAGAAAACTTTTCACTGTTTCTAATCTTTGGAATATATTCATAATCGCTGCGAAGAGATATCATATGAATTATGACAAGGATATTCGCTGCAATGATTATTTTGAAGAAATGCTCTATTTGCCGCATAACGTGAATAAACTAAATTTGTTAATTTTCACCAACATTCATTTGTTGAATGTGGGGAAACTGACAGTTATAACATGCTTCGTTCATTAAAACTCGTTTCAGATGATATGGCATTAAAGATAAAGCACGCGATAACTCAGAATTTGAAAATGAATCCCTTTCGACCTCAAAACTCTTCTCGAAGAATGCGATGGCTGAAATGCGAAACAAATTGATGCTGAGTGGGCTTGGGGGGCCACGCGGCGACGCGGCGCTCTGCTCACCTGGCGCTCTCTCGAGCGAGATAGTGTAAACTCGAACATTCCAGCTTTTCACGCATGTCAAGTGACTGCCCTCACCCCCACCCCCTAGACTGCCTACACTCCCCCTGGCTCACGGATTTCTGAACTTGCCAGGCGAGCAGAGTGCCGCGCCGCCGCGTGGTCCCCCCAACCTTACTTAGCACCACAAATTTCGCGGCGCATTGCAAACTCGAGCTCTTGCTGAAAGTGATTGCAGAGTATAAACTTATCATAAGATAAGCATGCGCGTGCATTTTTTCTGCAGTTCAAGATGTTAATTCTATTTGTTCTATGGGAAGAGAAACGTCTGCTTCGAAAAAAGTTCCTGCCTAGAACATGATAGTTTTCAGGAGTTTCCTGTTAAGAATACGATTTGGTGCGACGGCCTGTACTGGATTCATTTTGTTAAATTGTGCCCTAGTGAACATCACTGTGAGGACGCTTCGCGCCACACGAAATCCGAAATAAAACCGTGTCAGAACTAGTCTGGGGCAGCTTGAGTTCCTCTTTCGTCGTTGCAGCTCGTATGACATGGGGACCTAGCATAGCTAGGAAGACCCACACCTAATTTTGACATTGCAAGACAAGTTCTTTATAATCTCTTTGAAGTCTCCTTCAAGTCATCAGTCAATTTATAATCTCAGTCAGCTCCTAATGTAGAAGGTTAAGTAGCATCACAACATTACTCAGAGGATTGGTGAGATGCTGGAAAATGAGAAACCCGCCACCGATTTCAATATTGGACAACAAATGCGAAATCGTGAAAAGCAGTATCACACAGATATTTTCGCACCCTTTCATGACATAGCTTGTGTGAGGATACACCCCAGAGCTCCTGCTTTTGGAACTACAACTTTTGCAAATTACAAAATACTCAAGGGGGGGGGGGTCTGGCTAGTCAATGACTTCATAACTGATAGATAAACGCAACGGTGAGAAAGTGCTATTCTAGCCGCAATAGTCGAAACTGCAGATTGTCCGTTGTCCGATTTACGGGTACCACAGCTATTACTGGAAAGACCGAAACACTTAAATATTTGCTGGCTTAACAAAGGAATCTTACGACGTAATAACTTCGTATACGGGTAGCCTTCTGCATTGTGCTCAAACGCTTGTTGAAGGAGTGCATCCTTTTAATTACATCACAAATGCCATAAAAGAAGAGTACAGTGGGTGCCAACTCAGAAGTTTTATCACTTTCCCAGAATTGGTATGAACCTATTTTCATTTTTCCCGACAAGCTGATTGATCCTATCGATCTTTTAGAATGCACTTCGTATACGAGAAGTCATACAGTCCTTATATTGCTTCTCGGATGTAAAAATAAAACACACAAACTCACCGAAGATGGTGTTGCTGGGAAGCGAAATACGGTGTTCACCGGACGTCGGTTAAGAGCATTATTTCCAGGGCTGGATGTTGTTGTTGATGGACCTTAAGGAGGCAGAACTTATACGATGCGTTCATGATGGTTTTCATAACAAAACTTATACAAACCCCCTCCTCCAGAAATCGTCAATGTCACTCCACTACCCGATGGGCCGCCACCAAAACGAACAGATTGAACCTGAAGCGACGTAAAAATGGATATGGATGGATAAGAACGACTAGTGCTTACCTGGTTTGCCACAGCCGCCGCCATACCGAACTGCTACATATGATTTAAACAGATGGGTAGGAAAAACCAATCCGCAGCGACGAAAAGAAGACCTGTAACAGAAAAACGAATCAATAAGTTCCCGAACTAGCAAACATCCAGAACTAGCAAAGGAATGCAACAATAAACAACAACAAGAAAGCAGAAGAGTAAAATCGATATGAAGTACTTGACGTGGCGAGTGGGACTCCGCCGATGAATCCGAACCGCGACGCAAGCAGGCGCAACGCGTTCGCTAAACGCAGGACTGACGACGGTTCCGGTGGCGCCTTGTAGTCCTGAACTCGAACTGTTATAGTTGTGAGGTGGATGTTAAGTTGAGGGATGTGGTCCACTAGGACAGATTTTCCGCGTTTTGCAGCGCGAAACATTTTTCGCTGCAGGAACCTCAGGTCCACCGCTGATCATGAGTGGACCTGGAGTTCCCGCAGCGAAAAATGTTTCGCGCGCGAAACGCGAAAAAGCCGCTTTCTGTCCTAGTGAACCACACCCGATGTTGAGACCGCCGTCACACACGGCGACGGACAAGCGATTGCGCAATCGCGTGCCAATCGCTCTCGGCAGAGCGATTGCAACGCGATGGAGCGATCGCGTCGCTCCATCGCTTGTCCGAAGCCGAGTGTGACGACGGTCTTACATATAAAATGCGATAGCTCATACGCCCAAGCCTAAGTTAACTCAAACTTTTTGCAGAGGAAGGAAGC